GTTATGCTTGATTACAGTACGGTTTAATGGAAAAATCCTAATTTTATACATATTTTTCAGATTTGCAACAACAACTTCATCCTAGGCAGAGATTCCATATAGCTCTGATACCAAATGATAAAACACATATATATTCCAATATTCATTAAACACAATCAATTTCAGTTTAAAACTCCATGGAATATATGCGAAATAAATGACAAACCTCCAGCCATAGCAATTACTTCTTTGATCTTCTTGCTCCTTTATGAATTACAGGATCTTCCACTGCCTGCAATTTTGGGTGATGGTTTTGGGATCAAAATTAAAACTGCATCATTGGGGACCTGTAACTTCTCTTCTTATATGCAGTTGTCTTTCATCAAAAGACAACTGCCCAGAGACACAACCGTATGACCACATCAACAGGACCAAAATGTAATTAATGAAAGTGTAGGACCATATGTAAAAAGTCTAACAGATCTATCTCGCGAGCAGCTCGCCCGTTAAGACCCCTAAGTAAAGCAATGGACCCGAAAACGCAAAGCTTTTTGTCTTTTACATTTTACACAGCTTGATTCAGAGGGCTCGAGGACTTACAGGAATACACAGTTTGGTGGCTTTACGGGAAGAGTGTGAGTGTCAATTTCTTCCAATTTCAATAGAGATTTTATTATTGTTTTCAATTACAGATGTGTTTTCATTAGTGTGTTCATTTATATTTAAAAGGATATTTATGAAACCAATCTCTTATCAATGTTTATGATTATAAAAAACAATTTTAATACTTGGAATTAGATTTTAATAAATTATAAGTAAAGATATCATTTAATATTATTGTATGTAGATCTACTTAGTTATGAACTAATCAATCATGCACCAGTTGAAATACAAATGTCACTTAGTTTGTCAATAGGAAAAGAAAATCCCATTTGGCTATAGGAAAGGAAATCGTAGAACTTTTGAATCCTACTTGTCTAAAAATTCTGAAACCACATTGTCTGCATCAAAATCAAAAACCCTAACAAATCACACATAAAACGACAAAGCTTAGCCTGCATATAAAGTATACCATCTATTACAAATTAAATACTTCAAATCATTTGGTTAGGCAAGACTACTTGCAGGATAGAAAATACAGTTTGTGTCAAAGTAAGCAGCAGGAGTATGATTGCGACAGCAGTTGCGGTGCCTCTCAAAGATTGCTGAAATACACTCTTCTCAAAGTGTCATGGTATGGTTCCAAGCACTTTCATAGTGCTCGTTCACATCACCACAAAGGTCATCGTAATAGGTATAACTTAAGGAACCTGCGGCAGTTCATTAAACGGTCCGCTATACAGAATTGTTGCCCATAAAATTCACATAATTCCCTTTCAACAAGCAAATCCACATCGTCTTCGGTGTTGATAAGAGAATCCTTACTTGAATATAACTACATATATAAGTTTCGGACGGATCATGACACAGCTCCAAGGCCATCAGATTTCTGATCAAACATCGTGTTGTCATTATTTCACATGGGTGGGGATTTGCAGCTCAACTACAGTAAAAAGGACATTGGTGATTTTATCTTTTGATATTGTTGTCAACCAATCTATTCCGCACAAGCTCAAACTTCAATCCTGAATTTTCAACTTCAGTGCTTTGGGTAAAATATCCTCAGACGTTATTCGAGTTTAAACTTGGGATACTTTGGAATTTCCACTAGAGCATATCTACCAAAATCAGTGAAATTTTAATTTTGTACTCCTACTTTGACAAGAAAGCGGTCTGTTGTGCGAGCGATGAGTTCGAGAAAAAAACAGAAAGACTGGTGAAGGGAATCCTTTCGTCATCAGACACTCCTTTTGCTAGCAGAAGTGAAGGCCAAGTATATAAACCCTCAAGCAAAAAATATGGAAGCTGATTTTCGATTACAGCAAGTCCCGTCTTATAGCTCTTAGCCAAACCCATTTAGCAAAAATCATAACTGTCCCTATTCCCAATCTCAGAGAGCTCAATGATAAGACGGCATCAAGTATATATCTTTCTACAAACTCATCACTTGAATGTCGAGTGGCTCAGCATATTGACGGCGGTTCTTTTTCCTTTTTTCCAACAAATTTCAGGATCTCCTTCTTTCTATCAGGATAGTAGGAATTCGTTGACCAAACGAGTTCATGTATCTCCTTTTATGATTTTCCATGTCAGCCAGCGCATTTTGGCCATGATGATAAGGGCCTATTGAAACTAACTGAGGATTGTACTTCTTGTGGTTTACTTCCCGTAGATTTCTAGAACCTTGTAATACAACACTCGGCGGCCTGGATATCAATTCTAACCTCATGTTCTTCCTCATCACAACTTGCTAAGTTGTTTGCCACAGTTACTGTTGCCTAAACCAACCTTGAATGATAATTTTTCTTTTAAATTTTTTAACAGAAGTACACAAATCTAAACCTCGAATTTTTCTTCTTTATTTTATTTATTAATTAATTAATAATATTATATTATTATTATATTAGTATAGTATATCTTACTACAGAATGAGATTTAAGTTTTGATATTTCAAACTAATGCTATGGTTTTCCAGAATTCCTAATTAATTTGATGTTTGTTAACATATTGTTTTCTCTCTTTTTCTTATTTTAGATGCGTGTAAGTCTTAATTTCTTATTTTCTTACATAACATTAGCATAATATTTAGTGAGTTAACCGTCACTAATTAGCTCGATCATTTTACATAATATCTATATTTTAGTTGCAGATTTTAATTCCATGTTGACAGTAAACCTAGAATGCTTGTTAGTGTGCACTTTTACATAATATCTATATTTAGTTGCTCACTAAGAACTTTCGAACTACCAATTAATTATAGTATGAAAATGATCAAAAATAATTTAAAATTAAAACAAATTAAAGCAAGTAGAGACCTGAATTTTTTTTCCGAAAAGAAATACTTTGTGCAGCTGAGTTAAAACAAGCTTCTTTTTCTCCTTCTTCAGAAAAGGTACCTTCACTTAATGAGACTTCCCAGGAACAGCGGTAGTGAAAATGAAAATGGAATCACTGCATGGTATCAAGCTAAAGGTCTTTGAATCTCCGCATTCATCTGGATAAAGAAAGTGAAAGGAATCCAAGTTTTATGTGAGGGGACCTATTGTACTAATATATGCTGAACCTTCACTTACCACACGATGCCCAATAGATAATTAATGAAATTATGATACCTCACTTATCGTACTTAAAATTCTCAATAATGCATTAATTAATTATGAGCACATCAACATTTTGCCATTTTCTTTATCAATGTTACCTACCTTGAATCGTCTCTTTCTTACTAACTTCTCCATTTTATTTTATTAATGTCAAAACTTTCAGAATTTTTTTAACTAAACTTAGCAATTAGCATTCAACTGATAATGTTTTAATCCCTCAGAATAGTTTGTTGAAACTAATCCATATTTTTACCATGGCACAAATCATGAAATTAGTCAGATGGCACTAAATGTGATCACGAATTAGTCTGAATTAAGTAAAGATCACGAAATTTGTGGCACTTGAATGTGATCAAGCCATTCCTATGACTTAATTTTAACTTTGAGATAAGATTTAACTTCGCAGCTATCCATAAATAAGTAAAGAATATATGTAGTGTTAGTTGAGAACAAGAGTTTCTCCTCTTGCTTCCCCGAACTCCACACAGATTTCATACGTTTGTGTTTTCTTTTCATCCTCCCATCACCATTTTATCTTATTAATTAAGAGCATGTCTTGTCAAACTTATCTTTAAGAGATTCATTATTTTTGATGGTAGAAGACACACACATCTGCGCCAAACTTACTTTTCAAAAGATTGCAAAAATTTTGTTTTTATTGACGGGAGTTATTGAAACATGTTGTATATAAACTCCAAACATGTATAATTATAACTTTTCTGTTTGTGCCTTGTTAATTTGTTAATCTCTCCATCTAAAGAATCAAAATCCTGGTTAATGTCATAAGCTATGTATGCGTTCAAAAATTGCAAATAAAACCAATAATCTTTCTAAGAGCTGTAAGGAGAACATCTATCACTTAACTAATTTGGAAAGATTTTTTCGGTAAGAATCAAATATCCAATCTATATGTGAATCCAGCAGTTTTTTCAGGAGAATGAAAGGTAGGTTTCACTAATCTAAGTATAAAGAAGAGAAGTGTTATGAAATTGGAACAAATAATTTTGTATTCTGGTAATGCAAGCTGCAAAGAAACTTCTTACTGCTTGGATTGAGGAAGAGGAGGATGTTACGGAATTGAGTACAGCAGATAAAGGAATCAGCAGCAAGCTCAAAGTATATCAAAAATAAATCTGGAATAAAGAAGCAGATCTTGAAGTCTTACTGAAGTCTTATTTTCCAGAATTGGTTCATCAAACTACCAGTATGTTAAGGAGTTACAAGTCTGTTAAATAGAGGGTTATTTGTTAACAGAATTCAAGTCCCGTTAGTTCGTTTTATTAACAGTAGTAATTTGTATACAAACTTACAGAGATTGAAGAAGATGGGTTTGCTACTCGTAGCTACAGAGTTCATCAAATCGGGCTTATGATTAACGGTTTGCTGATGGTCGTCAAGTCACACGGATTGCAGTGTGGACTCATTTTGAGTATAAAACAAGTCATGATCAGTTTGTAATCAAGCTGAATTTAATAAAAATTTCAGTTCTGGAAAATTCTGTTTTCTCCCACAACTTTCTGTTTGTTTCTCTGAAAGTTTTATTCTTCTGGAATTTTCTCTCGTTCGATCCTATGATTCTTACAAGAAGACTCCTTCCAAAAAGCTTTTAGCTAAAAAGAGCCTTTTTGATTAAGTATTTGTAAAGGAAGAGGAATGTTTGAATAAAGTTAAAGACGGATTTGTCCTTAATACCCATTCTGTTTCACTCTTTAAAAAACAACAATACCCTACCTCACTTCACATAAATATTGAAATTGACAGAAGAAAAAATATATATGCAAATAAAGTAATAAGAGAACGAACATTTATAATAGTAATGACCTGAGTATTTTGGCCGGGAAAATAACTCTTGTATGGCTGAGTAGAGAGCAAGATCTTCTCCTCTTGTTGCTTCCCCGAGTGCCGCACAACAGGTTATGTAACTATGAACTCACACTTGTGTTCTCTCATAATCACTCTCGCACACACTTATAACTAAAATAACCCTTGAAAGTTTGATATTTTAGTTTTTTATAAATTTAAAAATTTTAAAACCCCCTTAGTTTGCTAATTTAACTAAACATCCTAACATATAAAATTTAACTAAACACCCCAGCAGAATCTGGCACTGCGGGTGGTGGGGGCGTTTTTGTCATTTTAAAATTTTATAAACTGTATTTTTGTTAAATTAGCAAACTTAAAGGTTTTTTTATAATTTTAAATTATAAAAACTAAAATATCAAACTTTCAAGGGCATTCTAGTCTTTTCACTATTAGCAAACGGAAATCACTAACAGCACAGACGGAAGGTACTTATTTGTCGTTTCAAAACCTTTTGAGTACTACTTTGTCGTTACGCAATCTTGGGTATGTCAGGCAAACATATCGTCATTCTACTGAATTATTATTATGAGCCAAATAATTGTTACAGTAATCAATGTACGAAACGTGATCAGCTGTAACGTGGTGGAAGATAGCATTTATTTAATATTTGATTTGTTATTCAAGATGCTAATGGTAGCTTAAGGACTTTTTATAATAATTAATTTCGATAAACAAGGTAATTATAAAAAGGATAAAATGGAAAGGTGGTGAAAAGCATTTTCAATTCTTGTATGTAAAAACCAAATCTTCTTTTTCTTTTCAACGATAAAATTATTAGTAATTAATGTGCATGTGATGGAGATAAAAGCAAAAGAGTCATGCAAACATTACTTGACGATTCATTCTCTTATTTTGGAAAAATCAGTTTGCCGGCTTTCCTGTTCAAAACAGAACCCATTTATCAATTTTTTTTCTTTCGGCAGGTGGCAAACCTAAACATAAGCAGGTGGACTAGAGGAAGTTAAATAAAAATATAAGTCAAATGTTCTATATCTGGTAATAGGCATAACCACTTTGCTTATATTGATTATAGAACTATTTTTTGTGTATGCATATATCTTCATCCATTGACCTTATCAAATTGTTTCTTTGAGATCTGCATACAATCCTTGCTTTGTCTCATCACAACCCTACTAAAATTTCATTAGACACTAGATTAAAGATCCATGACAGTACAATGGCATTTACTCTCTCTCAAAGATTGTGTAAGGACGAATCAAAGTAGATCTTACAATTCTTGGCTGCTACGCACAATCATTGCTCTACTCCAATGTGAATAATTCTCAAACTGTTAATTGTTGAGAACAAATCATCACACTAAGAGTATGGCTCGGATGAAGATTGAATGGATTGTGAAAATCAATTTGATTTACGTTGACATCATGTTTTCCTTGTTGCTCCATTCATGCAAATCAATTGATTCGTGAAATATATTTACAATTATATGGAAAATATAGTCAGAGAAACCTAAATCAAATGGCCGAACACTTTCTCCATTGACCACGTGATAAGATGAAGACGCCCATTACAAATTGGCAGGGTGTAACTGGTAGCGACGTGAGCTTGAAAAAGAGAGAAGACGTAGGCCCTGTGACTAATAAGAGGTCCTTTCTGTAACATTTTAATCTAAGAGATATAGGAAATTGAAACAAAGGTTGATTATGTAAGGTTCTGAAGGATAAATATAAAGTCAAAATTTGAAAGATGACAAATTGTAAATCTATTGGTTATTTTTAACCAAAAGGGATTTTCATCACACCAAAATAAGTTACCTTCATATTGGGGCTTCTGAATAATATTGCTTCAAAGGTTGGCATCCAAACACTAAATCATATAAGCAAATTAATAGAAGACATTACGAGATGCTTAATTTTTAATTTTATTTTTCATGTTACTTGACCTAAGTTCTTTTAGTTACATATATTTGTGTCTTGATCATTAGCTAGGTACAAAATAAGTTCATCCACATTAAAAATATTAACCAATTAATACAATTAAAAATATCAACTAAAAACAACAAAGCAGCTAGCACCATACATAAAGTAAAATTAATAGCTCTATATTCCGTTAGACAACTTGCAGGATAGAATCCAGTTTTGTGCCAAAGTGAGCAGCAGGATTATATTGGCAGCAACAGTTGCCGTGGCTCTCCAAAAATTGTTAAATACACACTAGCCAGGTTTCCATGGCATGGTTCCAAGGAGTGCGGTAGTGACTACTACAAAGTCTTATAATGTTGTATGGAATAACTTGAGGAATTTGTTTGCAGAGTTTATAAACATGGTCGCTGTTACAGAATAGTCCCCTGCAGGATCGTATAATTCCGTCTTCGACAAGCAAATCCACCTCCTGCTCGTATTGATAAGTGAATCCCATTAGTGAATATACGGCATATATAGCTTCGGATGGATACTGACACACCCAAGGCCATCAGATTTCGAATCAAAACATTCTGTGTTGTCAGTTATTTCAATATGGGGGAATTTGCAACTCAACTTTATTAGAAAATGACATTGGTCGTTTGGTGAGTTGAACGTCAACCAAATATTACCCACTATGCTGAAATTTCACTCCAGAATTTTTCAATTTGACCACGTTTGGTACAGCACCGAGGGACCTCAATGAGAATTTAGACTTAGCATTCGGCGGAATTTCCACTAGACCATATCTACACAAATCAGTGAAATGTTTAATTTTGAATTTATTACTTTGCATATGAAGTGGTCTGTTGGGCGGATGGAGTTGAAAGAAAACGCCGAAGATCACTGAAGGGCATTTCAAAATGAGAAACTTCATTTCCGCGGCGTAGGTGGTGGCCAATTATATAACTCATCAAGCACAAAATACGGGAGCTGATTTTCGAGTAACCATAAGTCCCGTCTTATAGTGCTAGCCACACCTCAGTTAGCAAAAATCATCTTTAATCCTAATAAAAATCTCAAGAGAGCTCGATGATGAAGCAGCATCCAGTAAATAATTTCTTTAAAGTCAACGCGGCCCATAAATCGTCAGGCACTCTGCATAATGATGGCCGATTCGAGTTTGTCCGCCTGGATAAATTTTTTCGATTCCGACAGTTTATCCAGGAAAACGTCCGAAAAATGGCATCACTATATCTTCTTTTATGTATTCCCATGTCAGTCAACTCTTCTCTGTGATAGTGATAAGGGCCTATTGAAATTATTGAGAGTATAGGCTCGTCATTTACCTTTCTAAGATTCCTAGGAACTTTGTGTATACAACGCTTTTCATCATCATTAATTGCGAAGTTGCTTGGCCCAAGTTCAATAACAACACTTTCCATCTTGGAAGCCTCGCTCCTCCCCGCCGAAACAATTTTTTATCACTTAGTTCCAATAACCTCAAAACCAAAAGGGAAATTAGGAATGAGGAAATTGTGAGATCACTAATAATTTTGAGGCGGCCTTGGGAGGGTAGATAGGTGCAATTAAGGGTATATATGATAGTATTTATGTGGTAGATGTGGAGAGTATATTAATCTAACTTATCAGAATATACTTTCCACTTTATGAAAATCCTACTTAGAATAATGATTTTGCACTTTAGTCAAAGTATCCTCATATCTATTAAAAAATGCATCACTCATACCCCTTAAACCTAACAAGGTTCTTTATGAATTAATTTTTGCCGCTTTAAAAATTCCTAGTGTTTCATTCATTTGGTTTATAATTAATGTTTGAACAGATATTTTTATCCAAATTAAAATTTAAATCATCCGTCCTAATCTCGAATTGTTTAAGTCTTAATCAAAGAAAAATTATATACAAGTTATACCAAATTAATAATATAATCAAGAATACAATGCTAAAGTAATTATATAAACAAGTTATACCAAATTAATAACTGATAATTAAATTAATAAAGTAAAGTTTGAAAATAATTACGAACTTGATCAATATTTCGGCCTAAACAAATAGTTGCAGTGTTGACGTGCAAGACCAGGTCGTGTTTTCACCAAGGGTCTGCTTGGGAGTTTTTTTTACACTGGTTTTGGGAGGGTTTAATTGACTGGTTTTTGAGGTGTTTAAAAACCCCCACTTGCCAGATTTTTAATAGGGTGGTTTTGACTGTTTTAAAAACCCCCCAAAACATGTAGTGTATTTTGAGAGGTTTATAAAACACCCCAAATTGGAGTGTTTTGGCTGGTTTAAAACTTTTATCCCAAAAAAACCCCTTTCCACTCCCTTTGCTGCACACAATCTCTCTGCTGCTGTTGACTTCTCTCTAGCACACAATCTCTTGCTACTGCACACGAAGTGAGTGAATGGTTTTAATTGTTACACACAAATCCCTTTGCTGCACAAATCGTTTGGTTTGTATTATATTCTTCTCACTTCCGCAAATTAGGCGTCAACCAAATTAGCATTTTGTTTCTGATAATGTATTAGGCGTCAACCAAACCGTGTAGTTTCTTTCTCAAAAATCCTTCCAATGTAATAATTATTAACTATTACATCTTCTCAAAACTTGAAAAGAAAAGTTGTCATTCACCAGCTATTTAAACCACCATTTTCAACGCCTCTCAAGCAAACCGTGTCCATATATTGACTGCAATCTGTTTCTCCCATTTAAATTAATTTACAATCTCTTCTTTCTTTTCAAATTTTATTTGCTTGCTATTATTCTTCACAGAGTCAAAACTATGTCCAGCATTCAATTTGATAATTATAGCGTCTTCTACTCTTACTAAATCGTAATACCCAAAAACTCACTTAATCTGGACACAGACTAATGATAATGGAGTAAAACTCAAAACCAGGTGTTAATAAGAAACATAAGTACAACTTGTAAAAACACCTTTTTCACAAACTGAGTAGCTAAAAACATGCAAGTCAAATTTATAACTTCAAAGTTAATTAAGCGAAAGAGAGAGTGTTTAAATTTTAGGGGTATTTATGTACATTTATCATTTACAAAACTACGGTCAGAAACCGTTGGAAAATAAACTCCCAAACACAGGGTGGGTGTTTTAAAAACCGCTACTAAAAACCTCTCAAAACCGCTACGGTAGTTTACCCTCAAAACCGCTACGATGTTTACCCTCATAACCGCTACCATAAAACTCCACGCAGACCCAAAAGACTTACTCTTTAAAGGATGGAAATGAATTCTTTACCTCTATGAGCTGCCTTTAGCAAAGCCATTTCAATATTTTTATTAAATTATAGCAGAATGTCCTCTAGCAGACCAACACTCTATAAATGATGGACTTAACAATTGAATGTATTTAATTGAATCAGATTCTTGATTTCATTTAAAATTTTTATGTAATATATTCAAAGAGTAGGCATTTAAACTAAGATCCTTAAAAATAATATAAAATCTTATAATTAGGATTTTCAAAATAAGGTTGAATAGGATTTTGGGTCAATTATAGTTTATAAATAAATAAAAAATTAGATAAATTATTAATTATCTTAAAATAAAAAGATTCACAATTAAGTAACTGATAATTAAAAATAACATAAAATGCCAGTAAAATTATATATATTATATATATATATATATAAGCAAGGCGGAACCCAAGTATCAAAGGTACACAATCCATGGATCAAAACACCATAGGTGTAAACATCTGGAACCAAACCAGCCTTCTCCATGAAGGCATGTATCTGAAAAGCTTTCTCCATATGATCAGATCGAGCAAATGCATCTATTAGAATTGTATAAGTAACTTTAGAAGGAGTTATGCCCCTCTCCTCCATCTCCCCAAGTATATCAAAAACTCTACCTAAATTTCCTGCTCTACAAAAACTTCCCATTAGAACATTATAAGTCACTAAAGATGGAGAATGACCATTTGACTTTAATTGATCAAAGAATGTCAAAGCCTTGTCCAATTGCCCAACATTACAAAACCCATCTATTATTGTGTTATATGTGATTAAATTTGGACTAATACTAGCATTTCTCATCTGATTCAATAACCTCTCTGCCTCCCGGATCCTCATCACTTTACATAATCCACCAATAAGAGTGTTATATGTAACCACATTGCAAGCAACACCTCTTTCACGCATTTCATCAAACAGTTTAAAACCTTAACTTATTTTTCGATCATTGCAATACTCATTAATCAAACAATTGTAAGTATACAAGTTTGGTGACACCCCATTAAACTGCATTTTCTCATATAGTTCAAACCCATCCCTCTTAAGGCCTTTTTTAAATAGCCCACTAATCAAAACTGTGTAAGTGTACTGATTACCAACCAAACCTAGCTCACCCATTTCATCAAACAACGTTTTAGCTCTCTCGATATCACCATTTTTACAACACCCATCAATCAAAGTAGTATATATAACAACATTTGGAGACCAACCCAAATCCTCCAACTGATGAAAAACCTCAAATCCCTTGTTCAAATCACCAGCCTCACAACATCCCTTAATCATTATCCCAAAACTATAGGCATCCAATTTAACCCTACATTTATTCTCACTAAAAAACAACCAACTCTTCTCAAAACAAGAAGATTTGATAAGAAAGCTCAACAGATTATTAAACAAGTTTGATTCAGGTACAAGACCCTTATCAACCATTTGATTAAAATAAAACAGAGCTTGCTCTACTGACTGAGATTTTATAAGAGCATTTACAATTGCTTCATAAAGATGAAACTTAACTGTTGGGTCGCAATTTAAGTGTTTTTCTGTTAAGTGGTGGAGAAGAGAGTGAGGAGTGATGACTGAAGATGAAATGCGACCAGATAATATCTGTAGAATGAGAGACTGCGCATGAGATTGCATGTTCGAGGAGAGAAGAAGGTGGAGAGTTATTGATATGGATTGTGGGGTGTGATGGAGGCCTTGGAGAGTCATGGAGTTAAAGAACGAAAAAGCTTTGAGAGGGGGGATTTTAATCATATTTGATATGAGAGCCAGAGCTTGCTGACTGTGTGACATTTTTGCAGCTAAAGTTTCCATGTCATGGCTTTCTGACTACAAAGTTCTTAATGCTGCACAAGAAAAGTGAATATTACAATGTAAACGAACTTCCAGATCAAAGAAAAATTTTCCCATTCTTTATTTTCCCTCTACTGTGCGAAATTTTTGCAGCTACAGTTAAAATATTACGCTGTGATGGAGACCTTGGAGAGTCATGGAGTTGAAGAAAGAAAAAGCTTTGAGAGGTGAGATTTTCATCATATTTGATAAGAGAGCCAGAGCTTGCTGACTGTGCGACATTATTGCAGCTACAGTTTGCCTGTCATGGCTTTCTGACTACAAAGTTCTTAATACTGCACAAGAAAAACGAATATTACTCTGTAACCGAACTTCCAGATCAAAGAGAAAAGTTTTCCCCTTTTTTATTTTCCCTCTACCATTTTTTGTTCACTCTCTTCGAAATGTCAGCATAGATAACAAATTATTTACAAAATCTTCAAAAAAAAAAAAAAAAACAGGTGAATTCGCTTCTTGGAATGTCAACACAAATGATATATCTCATCATCTTCAGTACACAAACTGTCTGTAAATGATTTTACCTTGTAACAAATATCACAGAATACAGAATCATCTCATACAAAAACTATTATCAAAATTATAATCTACCATCAACCCATCAAAGAAACAAGGGAAAAGGAAAGAAAACCGTAAAATATTTTTAAACACAAATACAAAAATAATGTAGCACAATTAGATTCATTTTAGTGAGAGAGATTTTAAAGCTAGTTTTACACCATTGCTACATTTAAACGACAGTCAGCGAAAAATTGTCAAAATTATAAACTTAAGCATCATATGAATTAAGAATTAAAAGCACAGCACAGCACAATTTTACTTCAACTTTGAATTTTGAATGTCTTTAAATTAAAATTAAGAAATTCAGTTTAAAACCGATTGAATGCATCATTCACTTAACTCATAGAAAGAATAAGCAGGAAAGAATTAGGAAATACCTCCACATCGGCGTACGGCGGCGTGCGCGGCAGGTAACGGCGGCGACGGCTCAAGAATCAAGCCAGAGAGCTGATAGATTTTGCGCGATTTGAAAGACGACCTCATTTTAATATTTGTTTGTCCAATATCAGTAAGATCCCTATAGATTGTTATAATATCAATCGTCCATCCCAATATCACATCCTAAATTTGTTATTATTCATTTACCCCCCTCTTTTAAATTTTTACAGGGTTACTAAATTTTTATTATCAATTGGAATCAGAGGGTCATTTTTGTTAATTTCAGTCGATTGTTTTATGAAATTGTATTCATAGAATTTCATAATACCATTGCCCCGGGGTTTAGCCTGGTGGTTTATCGAGTTCGAGCTTGGGGCCTAGAATAGGTATTTATAATTATAAGTGGATGTTAGGGAATCTCTTAAATCTAATGGGTTTAAATGTTACTTCCTAAACTTCTTTGCATATAAATTATAAAGAGGCTGAAACCCCATGGGCCGTGGCCACTCCAAACTGGTAACTTCACAACGTCGCTATGATGACTATGATAATCAAATCTTTAGGAGCAAAACCTCTCCAAATCCTTTCTTCTTCCTCAAATCTCTTAAAGTTTCAATCTTTTTCATCATCTCCAACAGCTGAACAATCTTCATTGAACCCAAAACCCAAAACTGCAACTTTAACACCACAATTAACCCAACAAGAACTCGCCAAAATCAATCTCTTAATTCCACGCCTATGCCTCACAAACAACATTAACACAGCCATTAATCTCACTCTCACAGCTTTACAAACAAACCCACCTCCCAAGTCTCTATCTTTCTCCATTTTAACTCACTCTCTCACTTCCCAGCCCGACTTGGTCCTCCCCATGGCACTTTTAACCAAACTCAAACATACCCCACAAGCACACTCACATCTCAAATTAATCACCACACTTCTTGTGTCTTCATATCTCAAAAAGGGTAGGCCAAAAGATGCTTTGAAAGTGTACAACTGGATGCTGAGGCCTGGCTCTCCACGTAAAGTGGAGAGAGTGGTGTGTGAGATTTTGGTTGATGGGTTGTGTAGAAGTGGGTTGGTTATGGAGGGACTGAGGGTTTTGAGGGAAATTTTAGGGATGAATTTGGTGGTGAGAAGTGGTTTGAGGAAAGGGGTTTTTAGGAGTTTGTTGAGAGAGGCTAGAATTAGGGAGGCTAAGGAGTTGAATGAAGCTTTGGAGAGAGTTGAGAATGGTGAAGGTGAGGGTTTGGAGAAAGTGTTGGCTTTGTTGGATCAGATTATTGCTAATTGGACAGAGTAGAGCAGGTTAGTCTTTATTGAAAGACATTCTCTGTGTTTATTTGGGATTTTGTTGTTTATACTTCTGTATAAGATTTTTTCCATGAAATCAGTATGTTAACTTGATAATGATGCGGGAATGAAGTTTTAGATTAAAGAATCCATGAGATCGAAATTAAATTATGTCATGATGAGCTTGGGTTTCTTTATCTAGAGTTATAGAAAGTACCATTTCTGATGTGTGAAAACGAAGGAAGTTCTAGAAATCTTGAAATTATTATAATGAGTGAAAATGAATGATATTAGCTCCAAATTGCAGTCTGTTTTTACTATGATTTGATGTTTGCTTGTGTGGCATCTGTTCTTTTCTCGTGTATTCTTGATATAGCAACATCATTTGTTTTCATTGACATTATGCTTGAGTTTACTTCATGAAAAGATGGTGGAGACTGGAGAAGATAGATAACCTTGGAATTGTGTACAACAATTCCTTGGGGTTGCTAATTTCTGCAACATAACAAAAGCTGATCAAGAATTTTGGTGTTAGAAGTTTAACATTGATGTTGGTAGATACTTTTTTCTTTCCATGATATGTGCATATCAAATTTGTGTATATTAGTTCCTACTTCTTACTGTGGATGCGTTCATTAATCATTTTCTTTATTCATAGAAAATAGCAAGCAGGTAAGGGTAAAAAGGAAAAACGTTCTAAGCAAGATTGATTGGTGTTTGGCTTGTGACATGCTTTACTTGATCTATAAAAAGGATAATTTCTCTGTATCTAGTTGTGTCATTTTCTGTAGCGCCGTTCTGAAGTTCTACTGATTAGGAATTTAGCAAAGATTCCCTTTCGTATCTACAAACTACAATACATGTCCGATCCATTGCTTGATTAGTGAAGCAGGTTATTTAGGTCAGTTATTCCATTGGTTATTCCCATCCTGGTACATTGTCATGTAGCTAAATAAATTTAAGGTGAGTGTTTGACCTAAGACAGTCCTCTGCTTCAGTTTGACCAGTTGACTGACTGGGGTTAAAGCCAACGTAACCATCTCTAGTTTATACCTCTTAGTAACTGTATTAGACTCTTCAGAATGAGATAATAAAGAGATCACTTACTGATATATGGTTTGAGTAAATCTGTATGTGAGCAAGTCTTACTAGGTTGAGTTAGTCACTACTAACTGGGAAGAACAGTCCCTGATAAACACGATTTCAGTGATATGCAAAGGGAATATATCCCGAACTATATTCTAAATTCAAGAAGATAGTGCAAGGTGAAAAATTCATCCTGTAACCTTTGTTCTAAATGTGATTTACACGTAAGTCTATGGTATTGACACTTCGTCCTCTGCATTTAGGAAAATGGTATAACTTATTGACTAGTAGGATCTAAAGCATCAACTTTTCACAACCTCAATTTAGACAAGTGCAAGCAAGTACTGAATTTCGAAAAGTGTACTAATCTTAATAAATTTATTTTTATTGGTTGGTTTGATTAGCCGATGTAGGTGGCTTGGAATAGTAAAATTAGGTAAAGGCATAGTCAAATAATAAAAAGGCATCACAGTTTCTAAAGAAAAACATTGCAAAATGGTGTTAGAAATGAAATCTGGAAGCATCTTATGACTCTTTTTAAATTAGTTTCGTCATGGACTTTTTCAGCTGGTTTTACATATCTATATCTTTCCTCGTCAATTTACTTACTGAATGAGTTATGTAATCCCACTTCAGGTATGAATGAACTCTTTGGACTCAAGCGACTATGCGATAACTGTCTGCTCCACGTTCATAATACGAAGAAACAGCTTTACCGAGCAGTCGCTTCTTGCTTCTGATGCTGCTAAACATGTTTAAAGATTGTTAAGAGAACTGCAGGCAAAGTTTCAAAGAGCTGAAGGGTGTGGTCACTCCGAAATTTGTATGGGATGCTTAAGGAAAGGGGAAAGCATCAATGGAACAAGTTTTGACTTAGAGAGAGTATGAATCAAAGGACCATTTCGAAAAACTACTTGGTTACTCACTACGTCATGAATGTTAACATCAATCTTATGTTACTAAAATGATGTTGATAATTATTCCTATTTTGTTATCAATTCGTTGTTGAACGTTATCGACATTGATATCATTATATGTTATTAAAATGTTCGAATCATAACAATATTACTCCTTGCCTCAAGCTAAAGAAATCTTGAAGGGTTTGGAATTTTTATTTTAAATTTTCTATTAAATAGGACATGTTAATTTAATAAAAATTTAGTTTATTTTGCCCTAGAGAATGAAATTATATTTGTGATTTTAAGATTTTTTAAAGAATGGTTTCGTTAGCATAAATCTTCCTCTACAGTAAAGACTAAAAATAGCAAAATATTACTTATTTGTATATATTAGAAAAATCATCGAAATCAATGTTAAAATCCTCAAGAAATTAATCCAGTTCTAGAATAACTCAAGCACAGTAAATGGATGAAAGAAAATTAAATTTATTTTAAAAAAAATCCATGAATTTCCTGAAGGTTTGACTAATTAATTTTGATTATTGCATAATAATGAATGTGTTTAATTAATTTTACAAAATACAGAGACAGTAACCGGCTTCAAGTGGATAACGTTGTCAAAACTTGTAAAACGCAAGACACAGGTCAAAGTACGAGCTTTGAACTTTAACTTGTAATAAGGTTTCTTCTTTTTCCCATGGTTATCTCAGTTTCTCTTCATCATCTTACTCA